AATCGGATTACAGTAACGCGTTACTGCCCATCTCTGCTGAGATGCATCAAATAGCCAAACCAATGCTGGCACATTAAAAAACAAACAAAGCAGAAAGAATAAGATGTGCTTTTTTCATCATTAAATATAAGCATAATTAGCAGGAAAGGGACCGTTGACTTATTAGTTGATTGTATAAACCACTACACTCCAGAGCCACTGATTAGATGTATCCACATTTTTAAAAACCCAGACTAACAAAGAGAGGATATAACCTTCTGGTAAATTAAAGAAGTATGTCATTTTTATTTCTTTAACCGGAGCGTATCTTTGTTTCCGTAACCCAACAGGGTCTACTGACTGTATCTGCTTTGCTACAGTGGGAACCAACGATCCAGTTACTTCTGCTTTACACATCGTTGTGGGTGAGTGGAAATTGCTAGAAGAATATGAAAATCTTACAAGAACCAACAACCTTTGAAAGATTAGACTAATTTTAGTTTCATATTCATGTTATTTTTTGTGCTTTTTTGTTTGTTTGACTATCTCAACAGGTGATTCGCAGCCAATGGATGTGTGTTCAGTTCATCACAATGACGTCTTTCTCAGATACTCGGTGTCATTGCTTGGCTACGGCTTCTATGGAGATGTGCTTTCAGACAGTGAGAGGAACAGATGGCTTGGCCCTGCCAGATACGACCTGGCAGGTATGTGGGCCATCAGTTTTCTAAAATCTGCCTAGATCACTTAACCTTTTATTTTTAACTCTTGGCTCACTGTTCTTAAACGCTATCAATCTCACAATGAATTGTTTTAAAAAAAGATTTAACCTGGAGTTCATCCCAGGGCTTGCTGGCTTTGTAAAGGGTCCAGACATCAGCAGCAGCATCAACAGTTTTCCTAACACCACGATTAGATGAGATGGTCTGCAGAAACCTCTACATATTATTGTTACTTTTTTCTTTTTGTCTAAGCTTCAACGCTATGATGACAGATGGGAAACTAAACTAGAGCCAGCTGAGCAGAAATAAGCAATTTTCATCCACAAAAATTGAGCTCCACTTATCCAAAATAGAAATCCATAAATTTAAACTCATCTTTTTACTTTAATTTACACTTCCTGGTTGCAGGTAGACACAAAAAAATGAGGTGTGATCAAAATGTTCTCTAGTCATGTTACGTCCCAGTGTACTTGGTGCCTGTGATGTGTGCTGTGTGTCAGAATGGTCATTGATTTTCAATTTCAAGGAGTGGGAGGACTCACATGGAAGTGATTCGGGCTACCTTTGGGCTTGGAAACTGTGGACCATTCCACTGTGAACTGCTGAAAAGTGCTTAGATGTAGCTGTAGGCCCGGCTCTCACCAACAATGATCCTCCAAGCAAAATTCAGTTAAATTTGAAAGACGGCTTGATGTTTGCTCTTTTGCCGTTTGAGGATTATCGTAAAATCGCACAGTGCACAGCGCAAGTGGACAGAAGAAGGCTAAGATAGCATCCAAACTTGACCAAAGTTAAATCACTTATGTTTAGCCCTGTTTAAAAATAACAATAACACCTTTGTGTTCACGTTTAACACAGCATCCTTACAGGTGTAATGTGATCACTTGTAGGACGAGTATATAATAAACTGTAAATATTGACACAACTCTGCATGCGGTAGCAGCAAAGACCAAACAACACCCTTTGCATATTTGCTCGGACACAGTGCCAGCATTTGATATGGTGATGCAATAAGAGACAGACGGGTGGATGAATGGGTGGACAGGTAGTTAGTATAGGTAGACAACTGAACCCACAAGGGAAATAATAGCAGGACAAAGAATAAAAGGTAGTGCAGCCTACAATAAATAAACAGCATAGTTAAAGTAAAAGTGCCGCAGGAGCACTGTGAGTGCCTTATGCTGTGAGGGAGTGCAAAAACTTTACAACTACAACTACAGAAAATGAAAATGAAGTTACAGAAGAAAGTGACATTGTGCAAGAGAGTTGTGCAATTAATAAATAATATGAATGCAATAAGCTAGAAAGGTTTTATTCTGCGTTCTGCGGGGTAGGGGGTTACATACTTGCCTAACAAGTGAAAGCTGGTTTGATCCCAGGGAAGAAGAACAAATCCACTTGGGGTTGTGTCATCCAGCAGAGGAATCTGGATGATTGTGTGGAAGTTTCACAAACTTGAAATTCATAAACCATGATGATCAACACATTCCTGTGACCTCTGAACTAGGTTTCATGTACCAACGGGGCGGGGTTTTCGTTTTCTGCAGAGCATCTCATGTTTTCCAAGCGTTGCGGCAATTTCCCTGTGGGAGACAAATCTGACAAACTGCCTACTGATGCGTGCAGATGTGTTGTGTTTTATTTTTGTTTTTCTAGTAAAACCTTTAAAAAAGAGTTCAGGTTGAAATTAAGCACAACAAAATAAAACACACTGGCACATTTGGATTCTGCACTCACACTGACTGTGTTTCCTTTCCAGGTGTGAAAACCTTTCTGAGCCACAACTACTACGAGGGCACCGTCTCTTTCCTCCCCGCCGAGGACGACGTGGGGAATCCGAGGGACAAGCTGCAGTGTCGATCCGGGTAAATAAAAAGCTATCGCTTTATTTCGGGTTTTCGGGGAAAGTTTCATCCTTTTCCAAAAAGTGCCATCACTGTGTAACTCGTCAACTTATTGTAGCATAAAATGTGACATGACCGAGCTACAAAAGGCTTTAGACTCATAAGCCGAGCCGGGTTTTAGATGGACCGAATGCATTCCTGTCAAATGCATCATTTAGGCTTGTTAAAGTTTGAAATGTCAGCAGGGAGACTGATGTTTTAATCAAAGTCTCACTGATATTTCAGGTGCAGCATCTGTCAGCACAACCTCTCATCAAAAGACACGCACAGCAACGTGTCGGAGGAGAAGGAAAAGCCAGGCAAAGGTACGGGTTCGGGTTTATTACTAGAAATGCGCCTTAATCACACAGGAAAAAAGTGCATTTCTCATTTCTCTACCTCGTTATCTGCTTGTTTGTCTAGTTTGAAACCATTGCCAGGCTTCTGATACATGTGAAAATGAGTATTTTTACAGGCTGTAGTTTTAAGAATAGAGATGGGAGAAGAAGGGGGTAAAGGAGAGGAGACGATCCCACGCTGGCTGTCTTTTCCCTTGAAGTCGTACACATAAAACAGGGGAAGATTTGCATTTTTCTCTCTTTTTCTGCGAAAGATTAAGTACCTGAGGTGGACTGAGTGTAAATAAGCGCATCATCTTCTCCCTCGCAACATTTCGCTCCTGGGTTTTCTGTTGGGTTGATTTTTTTTCTTCTCCTTTTTCTTCTTCCCGGCAAAATTCTTGATGAGATTCTTGATGAGTTATTGATGAGAAAACGTAAAGTGATTTTTAGTGACAGTGCATAGCTCCCCTGTTATGCCCCCCCTGGAGCCGCCTTCTTTTTTTCTTTTTTTCCCCCTTTTTAACCTATTGATTTACCGAATCTCCAGCAACCAGCCCTCGCGCCTACTTTGCGAGGCTACATGTTCCCAGTCGGACTCTTTCTGTCTGCACAGGACCGAGGACGACAGCCACCTCCTGCTCTCCCTTTGACCATTTGCACACGTACACACACACTTTATTACCCCCAACCCTCTCAAAACCGCGACACCGCAGCAGAAGCCCTCTGGAGCCAGATGAAATACTGACTCCTGTGTTAGTGTGTGTTAGTGTGTACTCTGAGCTGCAGATGATCTGTGCGTTCTCTAATTAGTGTCAGGATGTTAAATTCAGCAGTATCTTCTCTTGGCTATCTGGCACTCAGGGCTCCTCTGGAGTGTTTGTGTTTATATTTTTTTATTTTTCGCCTGTTTTAAATATAAAAGCAAGCGCAACCTGTTTGTGTATCTGTGCAGGCCGTGGGACCAGTTTCCACTAATCAGAGCGAAATTTGGCTCTGGCAGCACTGACGGGGGGCTTATGCCTCACGCCACTGCTGCTGTTTGTTTTGTGCTTTTTTTCCTTCTTCCTGTCTTCTTCTCTGGTGAGGGAAATCTCAGACAACTGCTAAATCAATGAGGCAAGACACACTCCCTCACTGCAAATGAGCCAGCCTCTCCTGCAAAAGCAAACACTCATTTGGAAACATTCTCCAAACGCAGAGCCTACAGTCCACCGTTGGATGTCTTGTTGTTGTTCTTTAACTTTTACATCACTGCTTTCCAATTAGAATACTGTTGTTTTAAAGTAGCCTCGGTGGGCTTGTTATCATTGGTTCGCGTTATCACCTCTGTAAGTTTGCTTTTGCAACGTGTGTGCGTGTGTGTCTGTGTGTGTTGGGGGGGTGGGTAATGAATCGTTTTGCTTTCCGAGATCACATAATTTTCCCTCTGAGGTGCTCGCGGAGCAGTCAGATGCTAATTTGGATGTCTGTGATCACTTTTTTCCAGCTTGCTGCAGCGACTATCACCCTGGTGACAGACACCGGCGGTCCCGTGGGTGATAGCACTGTGTCTTTGATACGCCATCGCACAAGTAAACAGCCACTAATCTCGGAGGAACAGAGTGGTGATTTGTGAAGTGCAACCATCGCGTCTGTCATTCGCGGTTTGGGAGGCCACGCGCGCCATTTAATCATAACGAGCAAACTCGCGGTTAACCCGTCAGCCTTCCACCTTTGTACGACTTCCTCTTTCTTTTGTTGACCCTTACCTCGTCGTGCTTAATTGCGTTTCGTAGCGATAGACTCGCAGGCTTGGTAGATTGGTGTCGGCGGGGAAGTTTCTATCTTGGCTCAGTCAGCGGGGTAGCTGCACTGAGAACGGCTGCCAAGACATCTGGATCTTAATGGACCCTCATCAGCATCACTATTGCTCTGTGACAAGCTTGGAGCTTAACCCCAGGACTCATAAAGACTTAGCAAAATGCAGAAAATATTTCAAAACCCACATACCTGATGGTGCACAGATTATTCATTTCAGCTTGATAATGGACCCTTCTGGACGAGCCAAACATCAAGCTCAATGAGGGTTTTTTTTCATCTCTTATCTCAGTTGTACAAGTACATAGCTTGAGGTTTTCAGAATTCTCCAAAACGAAATAAAATGTGGCGTTTTTTGCAAATGTTGCAGAGCTGCAGCCGAATTGCAGGTAAAGTTTCAGTGAACTTAAAATCTCTTCAGCTCAAGGTTTGCTTGTTTAAGAGTCTCAATGTCACACGGAGGAGTTTGAATATTGCAGAGACAGCAGAAGAAGTTAAGCAAAAGCACAAATGGACAAAAGCAAACTGATAACCTCACACTTTTAAAAGATTACCTTCGACCGCTTGAGGCGGGGTTGTGAAAAAAGTCTTTTTTTTTTCTCATTCACCACCTCTTGATTTTTTTAGTTTTTTGCTGCTAACTCACCATTCCCCTCCATCAACATGACACATTTAATTCCAAGTGGAGTGCACTTAAATAAAAGTGAGTGTGGTTATTTGGAGCATACAGCACCGGCAGCTTGGAGCTCTGTAGTGTGGTTCAGCAGTGCAATGGATTACTACACATTTGGCAACCTAATATGGAATACTGGAAACCAAGTCAAGTTTTTAAAGGTTTTATGGAGAAAGATGCTGACATCCAGCAATCAAAAGTTAGACATGTGCAACTGAAGGAAACTCGCTGAACTCACTGTTGACCTTGGTAGCAAAGATTCTTTTCAAACACAACAAATGCCAGCTTCCTAGTGTGTAAACCTATTTGATGTCCAGTTGCGCTTGTGTGGAAATGGAGCAGGTGTGTCAGGTGAGGAGCTGGAGAGGAGAAGTGGCCCATCTCCTGCACGCTCTACCAAAGTAATTCCAGGAGTAATTCTGGAAATTTGGAATTTGGACGAATTTATGTTTCGGTGTTTCATTGTCGTTGGCTGCGATTGGTTTGGTTCACGTTCCTGTGAGTTTGAGTTAGTGTCTGTCTCCGCTGCATTGATATGAAACTGAACTCTTCTGCAAAGGTGTGTTTAAAGTGAAAAGTACTGTTTGGGTTGCGTGCCTCTTATGATCACAAAAGGGTAATTATGGTTGTTTTGCATTACAGGTAATGCAAAACAACAGTAATCGCACAATTTAATAGTGTTTACATGTAAGTTTACTTTGTAAGTGCCACAGAACAATTTGCAGCTTAAGCTGTTTTGTGCCCACAGTTTTGAAATCAGACTGCATGTAACACCTAACACACTTATATATAACACATGCATCAACTGTAACCTTTGATTTCTTAACTGCACAAGTTTAAGCTGGAAAGCACCATATTTGCTGACTTCCAAGTTGGCTTGCAAACTGCAACCATAAACTGTATAGGTGCACTTCGCAGACGCACATATCTTTTAGTTAGCGCTGAGCAACAGACTGCTGAAACAGTTTTATCTTCTGTTGACACACGTGACGGTCAAAGTGGCTACACCCCAAACTAAATCCAAACAGGTGGGTCATTAAAAAAAAATTACACTGCCTTAAAGATGTTAAGAAGGGGGAAAGTGTATGTAAACGGGCTGCAAAGACGTTCTTTTTATAGCTAAAGTTGTGCACTTTAACATCAGTCTGTTTGGATTGACTCACCTTTGGAGCCAGCCTCAAGTGGCCATCTGATGAACTGCAGCTTGTGGAGTAACATCTGTGTATGAATGACTTCACCTCATCTAGTCTGTTCTTACTTGTAAACCTAAATGTACTGATGTTGGTTTCAGATGACAGCAGTGACTGGAATGAGATCCATGGAAAGTTTATTGCCATTAACGCAGCCAACATGAGCTGCGCTTGTCCTCGAAGTCCTAAAGGCCTGTCACCCTTCGCCCACCTCGCTGACGGCAATGCAGACCTGATCCTGGTGAGGAACTGCTCCCGCCTGGACTTCTTCAAACACCTTCTTCGACACACCAACAAAGACGATCAGGTAGGCGTACGCAGCTGCGCTGTGTGCAATCAAATCTCAACGCACTTGCTATTACCTAATAGGCATGCAGCAGTTAAGATGCTTTTCCCCTAATATGCCTAAACTGTCGAATGTAAATGTAAATGTAAAGCGCGGGGCATGCTGTGCATAATCGTACTGAATGGAAAAGCATGCAATTCGGATCCAGCAGGGATAACAGAAGGAATCTTCAGATAACAGTGAAGCAGTCCTCTGTCAATCATCGCGTTAAACACTACGCACAGCATCGAGTTCAACATGATGACTTTCCAGTCTGTGCACAGATGGATTGAGAGTGTTGAGCCTGTAATCGAGTAAGCAGAAGGAAGAGTTTGCCCACTTGCTGTGCTAGCACCTCCCTTTGCTGACTCTGCTCAATTTCTCAACTCTGGTTCACTTTAGTTCAAATGCCTGAGCCCTTATGCCTTCCCACGTATCATAAATAACCTCCACCCTAGTCCAGAGAGGCACCGGTAATCGCTGCATCAGGGATACACTGTATGGGAGAGCAGGCTCATACCAGACTAATGCCCTCACAGGATAGTACAAGTATTACCAGGGGTAGTCTAGTGATTAGTAATTATTACCTCAGGAAGAACCACAGGAAGTTTATCCCATTCAGAGGGATCTCAAGTAATTTTATCTGCACCGGCTGCCTTGGTAAAAGTGTGAATTTCCAGTGTTTTTAGCCCAAGCCGGCATCCTGAGGCGATTTCTAAATGTCAGATTTTCCTTTTCAGTTGTGCCCCGATATTTAAATCACAAAGGTAAAATATTATCTCCGTGATGCGGTTTGATTTGACGATTTGATAGATTTCCAGTTTTAAAGTTGACATTATACAGCGGCACAGAAAGGCAAACATTTCGATGATGATAAAGTAAAGAAAATGGTATTCAGAGCAGAGCGCAGAGGCGGGTGCTGTTACAGTGAAATTATCAAGCAAAGGGAAAGATTTCGCCGCTCCGAGTGACACGAAGCGTGTCTCCAGTCCCAATTAAATATTTTAGCATCTAGATGACTCAGAGAAATGTGCATGCACAACATAAAATTACCAGCCTTCACTGGCAATGCTGCTGAATGTAGGCATTAAAATGACTTTGACTGCTGAGGATTTCCCCTGAATGCTATAATCCAAACGCTGAGAGTCAAAAGCAAGATATTAGCAATGGGACACAGTTTGGTTCTGTTTATCTATTACCTCCGATTTGTCTTTGTCTAATTAGCAAACGGTAGCGCGATCCTCGATTGTCCCAATTTCCCAAATGGGGAAGTCGCTCTTTGTTTCTGTTTTCAACAACAAACAATGTAACTAATGAATATTTATTTGTCAATCAGCAACTTTTCCAAACAATCAGCAACTATCAATTATAATCAAATACCACTATTACCAAGAGTACCACAGTGTCTTAATTTAAAAAAATAATTATCATTAAAAACATTGAATATATGGTACTAATAAGATG